GGGGCGCTGGGCGTGCGGGGGTGCTGGGCGCGCGGAGGTGCTGGGCACATGGGTGCCCAAACAAAGGCCTCTTGTTACCTGCTGCCCACACAGTGGTGCACCGGACCAGACCTGCTCTGTGAGGCCGGGAAAGGCTGGCACACCCCACTGCCCATCTCTAGCTGGCCCCTGCCCACCCACGTCATCCTCTGGTCCTCTCCCTGAGCACCCCGGAACCCCCTCTCAGGAATAACCGGCACATGGTTCTGAATCCAAGCACCAGTCAGAGCCCAAGGGGGCTTCTGAAACAGCGAGGTCTGGGTCCCGCCGCAGAAACTCTGAAATGCTCCAGAATCACCCTCGAAGGTCATTCTGCAGTGCAGCCTGGCTCCAGCCCCGACGGAGGCAGGGCAAAGGGCCGGACAGAGCCGGGCGGGGCGTGACCCCAGAGCTGTCAGCGAGGAGACGGGACCTGCCCCCGCCCCATTCAGTTTTGCTGCCCTGAACTGCAGTCTCAGGCCTGCTCAGCGAGAGCACCCCTGTGCTGTGACTTCTCCCCACTCTCCCCTCTCAGGACTCTGGGGCTCCCGACACCTGCTGGGGGCCTGGGGGGCCAGACCACCCGTGGGGGTCAGCGCAGGCCTTATGAGCCCCACTCGCCGCTGCACCTACGTCCCCTTTCCTGGGAATTCTCGGCCTGAAAGGTCGTCTCTTCTAGACCAGCGCTGGCTGACAATGGATGGGAACTGGCAGGTAATCAGGGGCCCCATCTACCCTCACCCTTTCCTAAAACAGTCTGATCTTACAAGTCCAGAAATCCCCACTTCGGAGAAGGACTGATCCAGACTGTTCTGCTGAGCCCCGGCCCAGGCCATGCGCCAGCCTGCCCAGGGGGCTGCCCATTTTGCTGTGAAGGGGCCAGTCCTGGCAGCCCCCGGGGGGGGGTCCTGCCAGCCCCTGGGGGGTCGCAGCTGCAGCCTCCCCCACCTCCTAGGCCAGGAGGCGCCTCACCTGCCGCCTTGGGCTTCAACTACCTCAGAAAGGAAACAAGGAACAGTTCTTGGGTTCTGCTAGAATTTCAGAAGATGAAAGGTCTTGAACAAAAGCTTGGCGGAGGGCTGAGGCTGTTCCACCGGCTTCCTAAGTGACGAGGAATCGGATACTTTCAAAGGATGTTTGTGTTTGAAAACCTCTTTACCTCAAATTGATCAAGATACGCTCAGAACCGTCACCTCACTCCTGTAATTTCCGACCACCAGGAGCCAAAGTAACCTCAGGTTTCGCTTCCTCCAAAGGGCGGCGGGATCTGGGCGGGATCTGGGCGCTCGGTACTGCTTTTGCCACCTGGCTGACCTTCTTTCCCAGGAGCAGTGCTCCGAGTTCCCCAAGAGCGGGGCCCCCAGGGTGGGCAAGGTGGGCCCCAGGCCTGTCCACCAGGTTGCGCCCCCCTGCCTAGCTCCCCAAATTCAGGTTCTGGGCCCAGCTCGGTCAGCTTTCCAGAAGTTCAACTAAACCCTTTGGCGGTTTCTGGGGCAAAGACCCAGCACCTCGCCAGGCACGCGCGGGGGCACGCGGGGCGCGCGAGGCTCCGGAGGGCGCTGGGACAGAACCGCTGGGCCGGGGCTCCCCGGAGGCCACCTCCAGCGTAGTGGGTTGCGGTGAACAAACACTGCAGGGGAGTGCGGGGGAGGGAGGGTGGGGCGCGGGGGCCCAGAGCCCGCGGAGGGGCGGAGGGGCGCGCAGGGGCACGGACGCTTGTCCCGGCCGCCCATGGAGTCTGGGCACCGCTCTCGGACGCCAACCGGCAGTCGGGACAGTGGCCAGGGGCAGGGCCAAAGGTACGAGCGCAGCGGGTGCGGGTGGGGCGCGGGGGTGCCCACGGCGAGCCGCCTTGAGGCCAACGAGCAGAGCTGGAGCAGAGCTGCCCGAGAGCCCCGGGCTGGCGGCTGCTCCCCCACCCCCGCGCACCCGCAGCCGGCCCCCCCCACAGCTCCTACCTGGGTCTGGACGGGGGCCCCGGGGGCCGCCCCACCGCCGCGGGGTACAGGGCGAGGAGCGCCCCGGAGCAGACGGCCGCGAGCAGCAGCCAGAAGAGCCGGCTGCGCGGGAGCCCCATGCAGCCCGGCGCGCCGTCCCGTCCCAGGCTGAGGCGAGCAGCGGGCGCGGGACTCTGGAGGCGGCGGCCAGTGGCCAGCCCTGCCCGCCCCTGCCCCGCGGTGCCTCCCGCCCTGCAGCCCCAGGCTGCCCCGCCCTTGGGGGTGAGCGGCGGGCGGGAGGGGGCGGGAGAGTCGCCCCAGGCGCCCAACTGCCCGTGACCCTCCTTGCTGCCCTCCGGGACTCAGAGGAGGATGCCTGGGGCTGCCCAGCCCCGGGGACCCCTGGAGCCCAGAATCCTCTGGCGCTCCCCAGGCACAGTCAAGGGCGGCTGCGGGAGGAGCCACTTGTGTCTGAACGCACAGCGCCCTCAGGGCTCCCCCAGGGACCTCAGGTCCTTCCAGGGGTTGTATTTCCTTTGTGGGTAACTGGGACGGAAGAGGGACCCTCAGGGAACGGAAGACAGACAGACAGGCGCCTCTTTGTTCCTGGGGCTTGAGGAACCGGGCAGTGAGAGCCCCCCCACGGCCGCCTTCCTGCGGGCAAATATAGATCCGAGTTTCTAGTGCACTAGCTGACCACACACACCTGCTGATGCAGAGGAAAATACTAGAATCTGTAACAGTAAAACCACGGTTTCTGGTTTAAAAACGACCTGGTTCCTCCAGGGTGAGCAGTTTCGGAGTCTGGGTCAGGGGTTGAGGGAGGAAAAAGGCGCAGGAGTCACTCCCCAGTCTCCCCGGGTCTCCGACTCCCCGACCCTATTGCAGTTTATAAAATGCCTCTCCCTGTGTGTGAGAGCTCTAGTAGAACCACAGTGCCCGCAGGGGCTTCCTAGGGAAACCCCCAAAGGAAGCCCCCCCAGTAAAGGACCCCACAGCCCCAGCCTGCCGTCCAAGGCCTCCTGGCAGGGAAGCGCAGGGAACAGGGGAGGGGCCAGGCAGTTTTCGGTCAGGCCCAGGTGCGCAGAGCCCGCACATGCTCGCACGTGCACACGCTCCCACACGTGCACGCGCACACACACTCACGCGGTCACACACGCGTGCACACCCCACACGAGTGAGTTTCCGGCCCGCGTTTCCTCTTTCCCGCCAGCCGCCATCTTCTCCCCCTTCCTCCGCTGACCAGCCAGACCGCGCAGCCCCTAGGTCCCTCCTAACCCTTGTTCTCTGGCAGCGTCTTACGGGCTCCCGGGCGCACAGCGAGTTTCCCTTCCGTCCTCCCCCGCACACGGGGGCGCTGCCAGCCTGGCAGGCTGTCCAGGGCCGGGCAGCGGGCACAGGAGAGCCCCGAGCCCTCGTGGCTGCGTCAGGCTCTCATGGAGCTTTTCACACCACCTGTAGTGAGGCAGCCAGGTGCACAGCAGCCGGGGCTCCCGGCGCCCCCACTCTCCCTGGGCTCCTGCCCCGGGACGCGCCCTGCTGCCCGGCCGTAGGCCCAGGTGCACCCACTCACGTCCGTGCCCGCCCGCGGGGGGCCGCCGGGAGTCCGTGCGCGGGACGGCGGGGTGCAGGCGGGTCTCCGACGCCAGTGGCCAGAGGCCAGAGAGCCTGGCACTCGGTTTACCCTCCACGCGCTGGGCCGCACAGCAGCTCCCCTGCCCTGACTCCACCACTGGCCGCCTGTGGGGACGCTGACCCCCACACTGTGTGCCAGTGGTCCTGGCTCCCAGCCCACACGGGGCAGCCTTCTCTCTCGGGCAGGAGGGGCGCTTGGTCCCCAGCCCTGTCCTCAGCCTCTGCCTCTCGCCGGCTGCTGTCTCCGGGCCCTGCAAGCCTTGCTGTTCCACCTGTCAGAGCTCTGGAGGCCACAGTCTGAGGCCACAGAGGCAGCCAGATGGCCAAGGCCCAGCTGGGCACGCCCACCAGCTGCCCGTCCTTCCTTGGCCGCTGCCATCCTGTGAGCAGTGGTCAGACCTCAGGCTTCCTCAAGTTGGAACCGAGCGCCTCCATTTTGCAACGAAGCTTCCTAGATTACAGTCAGGAGTCTGCAGAATCAAACACCTCGTTCCTCCCCGCCAGCCCTCCTCGCGGTCCACTGCCGCCTGGCCACCTGCATTCCTGGGGCTGGGGGAAGTGGATGTGTCGGCCTCGTGAGACCCGTGTCCCGGGGTTATCTGGCACCAGAGGAAAACCTCTGTGTTGGCCAGGGCAGCCCTGTCGCCTGCCCGGCAGCTCGTGGGACCTGGAAGTGCGAGGCCCCGTGTGGGCTCCCGAAGGTGGAGGCCGCCGGTGGGGGCTTCAGCTTCCAAGCCCCTAGCTCCAGAGTGGCCGGATAAATGTGAAGGGTCCGGGCTCACGCCCGGGGCAGCCTGCTGGGTTTCACGGGTGCCGGCGGGAGACTGGGGCCAGACAAAAGCCCTGTTACCGCTCCTGGCCCGGCAGCAACTGGGCTCAGGCCTCGGCGGCTCCAGGCACGATGGGTGACCCGCGGCCGCTCTCGTGCGCCTTCCACAGAGCCCGCCAGAAGCGCTGAGTGAACAGGTCACCCCGACACCTCCCCGCAAGCTGGGCCAGGCGCTGCAGGTGGGACACAGCCTCGGGCCTGGGTCCTGCTTTCTCTGGGGCTGACGGTGAGGATTTGGGGTCTCAGAGTGACTCTATAGGGTGAGTTCAGTTCATGACCCCAGGACCAAAAGCCCTGTAGGAGGCGAAAGGAGAAGTAAAAGACACTGTCAGCTGACCGGCGGTTATTTAAATGAAGCAGGGTGTGAGGAAGACGAAGCTGCTCCGTGGAGTCCAGGCTGGCAGCTCCGTGCTGCGAGCGCATGCGAGCGCAGCGCCCTGAAGCCCGGCCTCTCTGAGGGGGGCCTTCGGCCTCATGCTCAAGTCAGGCGCTGGCGCTGCAAGCCTGACAGCGGGGCCGGCCAATAGAAGCTGCCCTCTGCTCCAGGGCGGCACTCACTACCAGCACTCTGGAAAAGGCAGGCTGGGACGAGGGGCCTGACGGGGGGGGGGGGGGGGGGGGCGCCGGCCCCAACCCGGCTCCCCTCCCCCAGCGAGGCAGCCGTCCTGGGCGGTCTCCCCTCGCCACCCTGCCCCTCTCGGAACCCTTGTCCTGGCTCATGGACACGCACCGTAGAGCTGGTCCAAGAAGGCAACGCAAGCAAACCAGGCCCAGCAGACCCCTCAGCGAGCAGCCCCCCTCAGCTACTCTCTGGCGGGACCGGCCCCGCTGCCACAGAAACTGGCCCCCCCAGGCGACCGGGCCTTCGCCATCCAAGCGAGCAGCCATCTCCTCGCCCTGCATTTGAAAGTGTCCTGTCCTCGAGGCTGCTGTGAGGTCTCTGTTCCCCCCCACCAGACCCCTCCCACAAGCACCGCCTCCCTGGTGCCCGTTCCTTGCTTACTTTTCTTCCTCTGCTGGTCTCACAAGCTTCTGCTGGAAAGTGGATCTTCTGGAAGCCAGACTACAGCCCGGGCGCTGCAGCCCGCACAGTCGCCTTGTTGGCTGGCTGGGGGCTCAGGGACGCCTCCCCGCAGGCGGGTCCAAGGAACGTGCAGCTTGGCCCTGAGCCCACAGTCCCGTGCGAGGGGGGAGGGGGCGGCGGGGCGGGGGTGAGGCTGGCCAGGCTCCCTTCATCTGTCTTCAGCTGTGTGACTTGTTGCGTAGAACTGGGGTGTGGAACAGAGGTGTGTGGGGTGGTGGTGAGAGGACTCCCGCACCAGACACAGCATGGGGAGTGGAACAGGCAGATCTACTGAAATCCCTGCTGGGGGGAGTAGGGGCAGAGCAAGAGGGGTCTGCTGGCCATATGGCCACTCCCTGGCCTAGAGCGAACTCAGGCCTTACCTGCCGAGTGCTGACACCTAACCCCTCGGCCACCAGGGGAGCCCCTTTCAGCTGTTAATTGCCAGCTAATTGAACTGGGGCACACACTCGGCCCCTCTGAAGAAGCGACTCCTGAGCGCCCCCAGTGCGGGCGCCTGCCTGCCCCGCCAGGTGCCCCTGAAGACTGGCTGCACCTGCACGGGACCCACCCAGCTGCCAGCTGCATCTCCTGCCTTGTTTCTGAGAGCGCCCTTATGCTGAGTTTCTCTCCCTGCAAACGTCAGCTGCTTTGAAGAGATCAGGACCCGCCTGTGTTGGCGTCACGCGTGATCTCGGAGCAGGCTCTGGAGCTGGCGTGGGCGCGGTGGGCTTCTCCGTAGCCCTTTGGGAGTTGAGCGCGTGGTGGGAGGGAGGCAGCTGGCAGGGCTTCTTTGCTCAGTCTCTGGTGGGGAACTGGCACCCTTCTAAGTCAGGATGGGGGTGATCAAGGGCCCAGGATCCTCACTGACATCACGCCCGCGGCAGAACCTGCATTCAGTGAGGGGCTGGTAGAAGGCACTTTCCTCAGGACTCGGCCTCAGCCCCAGGTCGCTGGGGCAGGATGGGAGAAGCTGTGTTCTGCTTCTCCGGGAAGGAGGCCCCTGACAGGAGCCACGGGGCGAGAGGCCTGCGATTTGGGCGGCCCTGACCTAGAAGCGAGTTTTGTGTCACTGGGACAAGGAGCTAGGGAGAGGAGGAGTCTTTTTGGCTCAAACATCATAGACTCTATCCAAATTTTTAGCAGGTTTTCTTGAATGGATTCCCTCCACCCCCACTCACTGTACACCCTGAGGGCAATTTCCAGGCACTTCCATGACGGTTCTTAACTGCGCTCTCTGCCAGCTTCATCCTCACGGAGTCACCCCTTGCCATGGTATTCACTTACTCTCCGATTTATCTTAGGGGCCTCCCTGGAGGTGCAAGGGGTTCGTCTCAGCACAACCAGGCTATCTGCCACCACAGAGGCCAGAATTGGTCCCCGGCCAGGGGGTGACCCCCAGGGCGCAGCAGCCCCCTCCTGTCTCCCCGCTCACCCCTCAGCAGTGGAGTTCAGTGGATCCGCCTGTTCTGTTCCCCACTCTGTCTCAGGGGAGTCCTCTTGCCACCCACCTCTGGCCTGTACCCCAGTTCTTGAATGTATAAATAAATCTTCACAAAAATAGTTTGTCATCTAGAAATTCTATTGTTGGAATCGGGGTGTTTGAATACAAGCTGCGTATTTGGTATCTCTAGGAATTCTTAACTATTTTAC